ACCCCGGGGCTTAGGGATTTTTACAAAAAAATCTTTTTCTGCCGGTTAAGGTGTCGAGGGCTGATTTCTTTTCCTGTGATAAATAGCCTTCTGTTTCTAAAGACAAACCTCTCAGGGGGAATATGCAACCGTTTGGCACCATTTCTGAGTGAATTGCCGAAAGTCAGATTTTTGATGAAATTGTGACCCGGGGCTTAGGGATTTTTCAAAAAATCTTTTTCTGCCGGTTAAGGTGTCGAGGGCTGATTTCTTTTCCTGTGATAAATAGCCTTCTGTTTCGACCGCCAAACCTCTCAGGGGAGCATTTGCAACCGTTTGGCACCATTTCTGAGTGAATTGCCGAAAGTCAGATTTTTGATGAAATTGTGACCCCGGGGCTTAGGGGTTTTTCAAAAAATCTTTTTCTGCCGGTTAAGGTGTCGAGGGCTGATTTCTTTTCCTGTGATAAATAGCCTTCTGTTTCGACCGCCAAACCTCTCAGGGGAGCATTTGCAACCGTTTGGCACCATTTCTGAGTGAATTGCCGAAAGTCAGATTTTTGATGAAATTGTGACCCCGGGGCTCAGGGATTTTTTCAAAAATATCTTTTTCTGCCGGTTAAGGTGTCGAGGTCTGATTTCTTTTCCTGTGATAAATAGCCTTCTGTTTCGACCGCCAAACCTCTCAGGGGAGCATTTGCAACCGTTTGGCACCATTTCTGAGTGAATTGGCGAAAGTCAGATTTTTGATGAAATTGTGACCCCGGGGCTTAGGGATTTTTTCAAAAAATCTTTTTCTGCCGGTTAAGGTGTCGAGGGCTGATTTCTTTTCCTGTGATAAATAGCCTTCTGTTTCGACCGCCAAACCTCTCAGGGAGCATTTGCAACCGTTTGGCACCATTTCTGAGTGAATTGCCAAAAGTCAGATTTTTGATGAAATTGTGACCCCGGGGCTTAGGGAATTTTTCAAAAAAAAATTTTTTTGCCGTTTAAGGTGTCGAGGTCTGATTTCTTTTCCTGTGATAAATAGCCTTCTGTTTCGACCGCCAAACCTCTCCGTGGAGCATTTGCAACCGTTTGGCACCATTTCTGAGTGAATTGCCTAAAGTCAGATTTTTGATGAAATTGTGACCCCGGGGCTTAGGGATTTTTTCAAAAAAATCTTTTTCTGCCGGTTAAGTTGTCGAGGGCTGATTTCTTTTCCTGTGATAAATAGCCTTCTGTTTCGACCGCCAAACCTCTCAGGGGAGCATTTGCAACCGTTTGGCACCATTTCTGAGTGAATTGCCGAAAGTCAGATTTTTGATGAAATTGTGACCCCGGGGCTTAGGGATTTTTCAAAAAAATCTTTTCTGCCGGTTAAGGTGTCGAGGGCTGATTTCTTGTCCTGTGATAAATAGCCGTCCGTTTCGACCGCCAACCCTCTCAGGGGAGCATTTGCAACCGTTTGGCACCATTTCTGAATGAATTGCCGAAAGTCAGATTTTTGATGAAATTGTGACCCCGGGGCTTAGGGATTTTTCAAAAAAATCTTTTTCTGCCGGTTAAGTTGTCGAGGGCTGATTTCTTTTCCTGTGATAAATAGCCTTCTGTTTCGACCGCCAAACCTCTCAGGGGAGCATTTGCAACCGTTTGGCACCATTTCTGAGTGAATTGCCGAAAGTCAGATTTTTGATGAAATTGTGACCCCGGGGCTTAGGGATTTTTTCAAAAAAATCTTTTTATGCCTGTGAAGGTGTCGAGGGCTGATTTCTTTTACTGTGATAAATAGCCTTCTGTTTCGACCGCCAAACCTCTCAGGGGAGCATTTGCAACCGTTTGGCACCATTTCTGAGTGAATTGCCGAAAGTCAGATTTTTGATGAAATTGTGACCCCGGGGCTTAGGGATTTTTCAAAAAATCTTTTCTGCCGGTTAAGTTGTCGAGGGCTGATTTCTTTTCCTGTGATAAATAGCCTTCTGTTTCGACCGCCAAACCTCTCAGGGAGCATTTGCAACCGTTTGGCACCATTTCTGAGTGAATTGCCGAAAGTCAGATTTTTGATGAAATTGTGACCCCGGGGCTTAGGGATTTTTCAAAAAATCTTTTTCTGCCGGTTAAGTTGTCGAGGGCTGATTTCTTGTCCTGTGATAAATAGCCTTCTGTTTCGACCGCCAACCCTGTCTGGGGAGCATTTGCAACCGTTTGGCACCATTTCTGAGTGAATTGCCGAAAGTCAGATTTTTGATGAAATTGTGACCCCGGGGCTTAGGGATTTTTTCAAAAAAATCTTTTTCTGTCAGTTAAGGTGTCGAGGGCTAATTTCTTTTCTTGTTATAAATAGCCTTCTGTTTCGACCGCCAAACATCTCAGGGGAGCATTTGCAACCGTTTGGCACCATTTCTGAGTGAATTGCCGAAAGTCAGATTTTTGATGAAATTGTGACCCCGGGGCTTAGGGATTTTTTCAATAAATCTTTTTCTGCCGGTTAAGTTGTCGAGGGCTGATTTCTTGTCCTGTGATAAAAAGCCTTCTGTTTCGACCGCCAAACCTCTCAGGGGAGCATTTGCAACCGTTTGGCACCATTTCTGAGTGAATTGCCGAAAGTCAGATTTTTGATGAAATTGTGACCCCGGGGCTTAGGGGTTATGTCAAAAATATCTTTTCTGCCGGTTAAGTTGTCGAGGGCTGATTTCTTGTCCTGTGATAAATAGCCTTCTGTTTCGACCGCCAAACCTCTCAGGGGAGCATTTGCAACCGTTTGGCACCATTTCTGAGTGAATTGCCGAAAGTCAGATTTTTGATGAAATTGTGACCCCGGGGCTTAGGGATTTTTCAAAAAATCTTTTTCTGCCGGTTAAGGTGTCGAGGGCTGATTTCTTTTCCTGTGATAAATAGCCTTCTGTTTCGACCGCCAAACCTCTCAGGGAGCATTTGCAACCGTTTGGCACCATTTCTGAGTGAATTGCCGAAAGTCAGATTTTTGATGAAATTGTGACCCCGGGGCTTAGGGATTTTTTCAAAAAATCTTTTTCTGCCGGTTAAGTTGTCGAGGGCTGATTTCTTGTCCTGTGATAAATAGCCTTCTGTTTCGACCGCCAAACCTCTCAGGGAGCATTTGCAACCGTTTGGCACCATTTCTGAGTGAATTGCCGAAAGTCAGATTTTTGATGAAATTGTGACCCCGGGGCTTAGGGATTTTTCAAAAAATCTTTTTCTGCCGGTTAAGGTGTCGAGGGCTGATTTCTTTTCCTGTGATAAATAGCCTTCTGTTTCGACCGCCAAACCTCTCAGGGGAGCATTTGCAACCGTTTGGCACCATTTCTGAGTGAATTGCCGAAAGTCAGATTTTTGATGAAATTGTGACCCGGGGCTTAGGGATATTTCAAAAAAATCTTTTTCTGCCGGTTAAGTTGTCGAGGGCTGATTTCTTGTCCTGTGATAAATAGCCTTCTGTTTCGACCGCCAAACCTCTCAGGGGAGCATTTGCAACCGTTTGGCACCATTTCTGAGTGAATTGCCGAAAGTCAGATTTTTGATGAAATTGTGACCCCGGGGCTTAGGGATTTTTCCAAAAATCTTTTTCTGCCGGTTAAGTTGTCGAGGGCTGATTTCTTGTCCTGTCGTAAGAAGCGTGCTGTTACGACCGCCGTACCGCTCAGGGAGTCATTAGAAACCGGTTGGCACCATTTCTGAGTGAATTGCCGAAAGTCAGATTTTTGATGAAACTGTGACCCCGGGGCTTAGGGATTTTTCAAAAAATCTTTTTCTGCCGGTTAAGTTGTCGAGGGCTGATATCTTGTCCTGTGATAAAAAGCCTTCTGTTTCGACCGCCAAACCTAACAGCGCACCAGTTGCAACCGGTAGCCACCAATTCTGAGTGAATTGCCGAAAGTCAGATTTTTGATGAAATTGTGACCCCGGGGTTTAGGGATTTTTTCAAAAAAAATCTTTTTCCGCCGGCTAAGTTGTCAAGGGCTGATTTCTTTTCCTGTGATAAATAGCCTTCTGTTTCGACCGCCAAACCTCTCAGGGGAGCATCTGCAACCGTTTGGCACCATTTCTGAGTGAATTGCCGAAAGTCAGATTTTTGATGAAATTGTGACCCCGGGGCTTAGGGAGTTTTTCAAAAAAATCTTTTTCTGCCGGTTAAGGTGTCGAGGGCTGATTTCTTGTCCTGTGATAAATAGCCTTCTGTTTCGACCGCCAAACCTCTCGGGAGCATTTGCAACCGATTGGCACCATATCTGAGTGAATTGCCAAAAGACAGATTTTTGATGAAATTGTGACCCGGGGCTTAGGGATTTTTCAAAAAATCTTTTTCTGCCGGTTAAGTTGTCGAGGGCTGATTTCTTGTCCTGTGATAAAAAGCCTTCTGTTTCGACCGCCAAACCTCTCAGGGAGCATTTGCAACCGTTTGGCACCATTTCTGAGTGAATTGCCGAAAGTCAGATTTTTGATGAAATTGTGACCCGGGGCTTAGGGATTTTTCAAAAAAATTTTTTTTGCCTGTTAAGTTGTCGAGGGCTGATTTCTTGTCCTGTGATAAATAGCCTTCTGTTTCGACCGCCAAACCTCTCAGGGGAGCATTTGCAACCGTTTGGCACCATTTCTGAGTGAATTGCCGAAAGTCAGATTTTTGATGAAATTGTGACCCCGGGGCTTAGGGATTTCAAAAAAAATAATTTCTGCCGGTTAAGGTGTCGAGGGCTGATTTCTTTTCCTGTCATAAATAGCCTTCTGTTTCGACCGCCAAACCTCTCAGGGGAGCATTTGCAACCGTTTGGCACCATTTCTGAGTGAATTGCCGAAAGTCAGATTTTTGATGAAATTGTGACCCCGGGGCTTAGGGATTTTATCAAAAAAATCTTTTTCTGCCGGTTAAGGTGTCGAGGGTTGATTTCTTGTCCTATGATACATAGCCTTCTGTTTCGACCGCCAAACCTCTCAGGGGAGCATTTGCAACCGTTTGGCACCATTTCTGAGTGAATTGCCGAAAGTCAGATTTTTGATGAAATTGTGACCCCGGGGCTTAGGGATTTTTCAAAAAAATCTTTTCTGCCGGTTAAGTTGTCGAGGGCTGATTTCTTTTCCTGTGATAAATAGCCTTCTGTTTCGACCGCCAAACCTCTCAGGGGGCATTTGCAACCGTTTGGCACCATTTCTGAGTGAATTGCCGAAAGTCAGATTTTTGATGAAATTGTGACCCCGGGGCTTAGGGATTTTTTCAAAAAATCTTTTCTGCCGGTTAAGGTGTCGAGGGCTGATTTCTTTTCCTGTGATAAATAGCCTTCTGTTTCGACCGCCAAACCTCTCAGGGGAGCATTTGCAACCGTTTGGCACCATTTCTGAGTGAATTGCCGAAAGTCAGATTTTTGATGAAATTGTGACCCCGGGGCTTAGGGATTTTTTCAAAAAAATTCTTTTCTGCCGGTTAAGGTGTCGAGGGCTGATTTCTTTTCCTGTGATAAATAGCCTTCTGTTTCGACCGCCAAACCTCTCAGGGGAGCATTTGCAACCGTTTGGCACCATTTCTGAGTGAATTGCCGAAAGTCAGATTTTTGATGAAATTGTGACCCCGGGGCTTAGGGATTTTTCAAAAAATCTTTTCTGCCGGTTAAGTTGTCGAGGGCTGATTTCTTGTCCTGTGATAGAAGCCTTCTGTTTCGACCGCCAAACCTCTCAGGGGAGCATTTTCAACCGTTTGGCACCATTTCTGAGTGAATTGCCGAAAGTCAGATTTTTGATGAAATTGTGACCCCGGGGCTTAGGGATTTTTCAAAAAATCTTTTTCTGCCGGTTAAGGTGTCGAGGGCTGATTTCTTTTCCTGTGATAAATAGCCTTCTGTTTCGACCGCCAAACCTCTCAGGGAGCATTTGCAACCGTCTGGCACCATTTCTGAGTGAATTGCCGAAAGTCAGATTTTTGATGAAATTGTGACCCCGGGGCTTAGGGATTTTTCAAAAAATCTTTTTCTGCCGGTTAAGTTGTCGAGGGCTGATTTCTTGTCCTGTGATAAATAGCCTTCTGTTTCGACCGCCAAACCTCTCAGGGAGCATTTGCAACCGTTTGGCACCATTTCTGAGTGAATTGCCGAAAGTCAGATTTTTGATGAAATTGTGACCCGGGGCTTAGGGATTTTTCAAAAAATCTTTTCTGCCCGTTAAGTTGTCGAGGGCTGATTTCTTGTCCTGTGATAAATAGCCTTCTGTTTCGACCGCCAAACCTCTCAGGGGAGCATTTGCAACCGTTTGGCACCATTTCTGAGTGAATTGCCGAAAGTCAGATTTTTGATGAAATTGTGACCCCGGGGCTTAGGGATTTTTTTTAAAAATCTTTTCTGCCGGTTAAGTTGTCGAGGGCTGATTTCTTGTCCTGTGATAAATAGCCTTCTGTTTCGACCGCCAAACCTCTCAGGGGAGCATTTGCAACCGTTTGGCACCATTTCTGAGTGAATTGCCGAAAGTCAGATTTTTGATGAAATTGTGACCCCGGGGCTTAGGGATATTTCAAAAAAATCTTTTTCTGCCGGTTAAGTTGTCGAGGGCTGATTTCTTTTCCTGTGATAAATAGCCTTCTGTTTCGACCGCCAAACCTCTCAGGGGAGCATTTGCAACCGTTTGGCACCATTTCTGAGTGAATTGCCGAAAGTCAGATTTTTGATGAAATTGTGACCCGGGGGCTTAGGGATTTTTCAAAAAAATCTTTTCTGCCGGTTAAGGTGTCGAGGGCTGATTTCTTGTCCTGTGATAAATAGCCTTCTGTTTAGACCGCCAAACCTCTCAGGGGAGCATTTGCAACCGTTTGGCACCATTTCTGAGTGAATTGCCGAAAGTCAGATTTTTGATGAAATTGTGACCCCGGGGCTTAGGGTATTTTTCAAAAAAATCTTTTTCTGCCGGTTAAGGTGTCGAGGGCTGATTTCTTGTCCTGTGATAAAAAGCCTTCTGTTTCGACCGCCAAACCTCTCAGGGAGCATTTGCAACCGTTTGGCACCATTTCTGAGTGAATTGCCGAAAGTCAGATTTTGATGAAATTGTGACCCCGGGGCTTAGGGATTTTTCCAAAAAAATCTTTTTCTGCCGGTTAAGGTGTCGAGGGCTGATTTCTTTTCCTGTGATAAATTGCCTTCTGTTTCGACCGCCAAACCTCTCAGTGGAGCAATTGCAACCGTTTGGCACCATTTCTGAGTGAATTGCTGAAAGTCAGATTTCTGATGAAATTGTGACCGCGGGGCTTAGGGATTTTTTCCAGAAATTCTTTTTCTGCCGGTTAAGGTGTCGAGGGCTGATTTCTTTTTCTGTGATAAATAGCCTTCTGTTTCGACCGCCAAACCTCTTAGGGGAGCATTTGCAACCGTTTGGCACCATTTCTGAGTGAATTGCCGAAAGTCAGATTTTGGATGAAATTGTGACCCCGGGGCTTAGGGATTTTTTCAAAAAAATCTTTTTCTGCCGGTTAAGGTGTCGAGGGCTGATTTCTTTTCCTGTGATAAATAGCCTTCTGTTTCGACCGCCAAACCTCTCAGGGAAGCATTTGCAACCGTTTGGCACCATTTCTGAGTGAATTGCCGAAAGTCAGATTTTTGATGAAATTGTGACCCCGGGGCTTAGGGATTTTTTCAAAAAATCTTTTTCTGCCGGTTAAGTTGTCGAGGGCTGATTTCTTGTCCTGTGATAAAAAGCCTTCTGTTTCGACCGCCAAACCTCTCAGGGAGCATTTGCAACCGTTTGGCACCATTTCTGAGTGAATTGCCGAAAGTCAGATTTTTGATGAAATTGTGACCCCGGGGCTTAGGGATTTTTCAGAAAAATCTTTTCTGCCGGTTAAGTTGTCGAGGGCTGATTTCTTTTCCTGTGATAAATAGCCTTCTGTTTCGACCGCCAAACCTCTCAGGGGAGCATTTGCAACCGTTTGGAACCATTTATGAGTGAATTGCCGAAAGTCAGATTTTTGATGAAATTGTGACCCCGGGGCTTAGGGATTTTTCAAAAAATCTTTTCTGCCGGTTAAGGTGTCGAGGGCTGATTTCTTTTCCTGTGATAAATAGCCTTCTGTTTCGACCGCCAAACCTCTCAGGGAGCATATGCAACCGTTTGGCACCATTTCTGAGTGAATTGCCGAAAGTCAGATTTTTGATGAAATTGTGACCCCGGGGCTTAGGGATTTTTTCAAAAAAACTTGTTCTGCCGGTTAAGTTGTCGAGGGCTGATTTCTTGTCATGTGATAAATAGCCTTCTGTTTCGACCGCCAAACCTCTCAAGGGTGCTTTTGCAACCGTTTGGCACCATTTCTGAGTGAATTGCCGAAAGTCAGATTTTTGATGAAATGGGGACCCCGGGGCTTAGGGATTTTTTCAAAAAATCTTTTTCTGCCGGTTAAGGTGTAGAGGGCTGATTTCTTTTCCTGTGATAAATAGCCTTCTGTTTCGACCGCCAAACCTCTCAGGGGAGCATTTGCAACCGTTTGGCACCATTTCTGAGTGAATTGCCGAAAGTCAGATTTTTGATGAAATTGTGACCCCGGGGCTTAGGGATTTTTCAAAAAATCTTTTTCTGCCGGTTAAGGTGTCGAGGGCTGATTTCTTTTCCTGTGATAAATAGCCTTCTGTTTCGACCGCCAAACCTCTCAGGGGAGCATTTGCAACCGTTTGGCACCATTTCTGAGTGAATTGCCGAAAGTCAGATTTTTGATGAAATTGTGACCCCGGGGCTTAGGGATTTTTTCAAAAAAATCTTTTTCTGCCGGTTAAGGTGTCGAGGGCTGATTTCTTTTCCTCTGATAAATAGCCTTCTGTTTCGACCGCCAAACCTCTCAGAGGAGCATTTGTAACCGTTTGGCACCATTTCTGAGTGAATTGCCGAAAGTCAGATTTTTGATGAAATTGTGACCCCGGGGCTTAGGGATTTTTTCAACAAAATCTTTTCTGCCGGTTAAGGTGTCGAGGGCTGATTTCTTTTCCTGTGATAAATAGCCTTCTGTTTCGACCGCCAAACCTCTCAGGGGAGCATTTGCAACCGTTTGGCACCATTTCTGAGTGAATTGCCGAAAGTCAGATTTTTGATGAAATTGTGACCCCGGGGCTTAGGGATTTTTTCCAAAATATGTTTTTCTGGCGGTTTCGTTTTCGAGGGCTGATTTCTTGTGCTGTGATAAATAGCCTTCTGTTTCGACCGCGAAACCTCTCAGGGAGCATTTGCAACCGTTTGGCACCATTTCTGAGTGAATTGCCGAAAGTCAGATTTTGATGAAATTGTGACCCCGGGGCTTAGGGATTTTTCAAAAAATCTTTTCTGCCGGTTAAGTTGTCGAGGGCTGATTTCTTGTCCTGTGATAAATAGCCTTCTGTTTCGACCGCCAAACCTCTCAGGGAGCATTTGCAACCGTTTGGCACCATTTCTGAGTGAATTGCCGAAAGTCAGATTTTTGATGAAATTGTGACCCGGGGCTTAGGGATTTTTTCAAAAAATCTTTTTCTGCCGGTTAAGTTGTCGAGGGCTGATTTCTTGTCCTGTGATAAATAGCCTTCTGTTTCGACCGCCAAACCTCTCAGGGAGCATTTGCAACCGTTTGGCACCATTTCTGAGTGAATTGCCGAAAGTCAGATTTTTGATGAAATTGTGACCCCGGGGCTTAGGGATTTTTTCAAAAAAATCTTTTCTGCCGGTTAAGTTGTCGAGGGCTGATTTCTTGTCCTGTGATAAAAAGCCTTCTGTTTCGACCGCCAAACCTCTCAGGGGAGCATTTGCAACCGTTTGGCACCATTTCTGAGTGAATTGCCGAAAGTCAGATTTTTGATGAAATTGTGACCCCGGGGCTTAGGGATTTTTTCTAAAAAATCTTTTTCTGCCGGTTAAGGTGTCGAGGGCTGATTTCTTGTCCTGTGATAAAAAGCCTTCTGTTTCGACCGCCAAACCTCTCAGGGGAGCATTTGCAACCGTTTGGCACCATTTCTGAGTGAATTGCCGAAAGTCAGATTTTTGATGAAATTGTGACCCCGGGGCTTAGGGATCTATTCAAAAAAATCTTTTCCTGCCGGTGAAGGTGTCGAGGGCTGATTTTTTTCCTTTGATAAATACCCTTCTGTTTCGACCAACAAACCTCTCAGGGGAGCATTTGCAACCGTTTGGCACCATTTCTGAGTGAATTGCCGAAAGTCAGATTTTTGATGAAATTGTGACCCCGGTGCTAAGGCATTTTTCAAAAAATCTTTTTCTGCCCGGTTAAGGTGTCGAGGGCTGATTTCTTTTCCTGTGATAAATAGCCTTCTGTTTCGACCGCTAAACCTCTCACGGGAGCATTTGCAACCGTTTGGCACCATTTCTGAGTGAATTGCCGAAAGTCA